AAAAGGCGTGATGTCCTCCACAAGTCTTGTACTTTTTGATTGTCTTCACATAATAATAGTGTTCTCAAATATTTACATACACCAGCGAGAGAAAATATATCGGATATGTCTAGATATCTACATATTAAAATCAAAAATTCAATTGTAATATCTCCCAACCCTGCGAAAGAGACGTAATCCTTCTTGACGTTCTTCTTTTGGGGGAACAAAAATGAAAAGGGGTTGGAGATGAGGGACTCTTTTTGATCACTTGGGTCGACCAATGGTTGAAACATTAGTCGCAAGAAGGGGTGAAGTAACTTGGAAATATTTGGGAACTCATTATCATCATTATCAATGTATCGTGACATGGTTTTTTCTTCTTTTTTATAGATATAAGAGTGATGAGAGAATAATAAGAATTTCTAATCTAGTATCTATAAAAAATTTATGAAAATGGTGTAAATATTTATTTATAATGAAAAGTTCAAAAAAAAAAAATTTTTTTTTTTTTCGAGTGGACGGAAGAGTGGGTGAAAGGTTGGGAGAGTGGGTTTGATGTGCCTTTATATACGATGCGAAAGTGAAAAGGCAAAAATATTTTTTTTATGTTGTGTTATGTGGCGCCCAGATATATAATACGCACAAAGAGGCCGAAATAGTATTGTACTCAAATAGCCAAGTCATCATCAATGAGTAACCAACTATTCTTAATTTCTGTAAGACCACATAAAAAAAAAAAAAAAAATGGTATAGAGTAGGGGACGACGCAGTCATCTTCACAAAAGGAAATTAATGAGAGTGAATTTATTTATTTACAATACTCTCACCACCACCACCACCACCACCACCACCGTTTTCATTTTCATTTTCGAGCATACCCGTAATAAAAATATTTGATGTTCGACATATGACGGTTCCATTTTATTTGAGACTATGTGAACAAAATAAATAACAATAGGACAATAGTGGATAATGATAATACTGTATGTTGCGGTTAGTGGAAAGGGCGAGAACGCCAGAAGAAAAAAAAAAAGAAGTGAACATCAAAATGTTGTATATGTGGTGTGTACAAAGACAAACAAGTAGCAAAACGTGTATTCGGCTAAAACAGACCCGCATCTACGTTTACACTGTAAAACTCATCTCACTCATTTATTAACACCAAATAGGCTTGTTATTACTCGCGGGACTATGATGGAAATATTGGTGGATGTGCAATGTGTATAATAACGTTGGTGGAAATATCGAGTTGATTCGGGAAGTCTGGCATGACCCACCGGTTCGAGCATCGGATTAACCATTTTTGAGTTTAAGAATGTCTATATGAGGAACAGAGGGAAAAAAAAAAAGGGTGTGCTGGGCCGTGTCGCATCAGGCAAGTCGCCTCATTCGATGGTGGCCAACAAAGAGACACTGTGTATTATAATTGTATATATTGGCCGAAGACACTGAGTCCCTCGTATCGGAAAAGTCATTCGCCATCCCTTTTGTCGGTGCGACAGGTTTCCCCTGTTCGCGTATACAACAAACCCATCGTCGACGATTTATTTTTGCAAAAACGAATTTGAACTCCAAGAGGAACGCGGCGTCTCGTATATACCGACCGTACTACGATCATTACAAGAAGACAATACGATCCATGGAGTGGTGGACAGAAATTTATTCCTTTTTTTTTTCTCATGTCGCGCAGTTTCTTCCTTCCTTTATTACTTCTTTTCGTGACTGTTTACTTTATTTTAATTCTCAATGCAAATGATGCATACACTGTACACACAGTATCTATGCATTTTTAGAATTCTGTTTACCCTAATTATAGACATTGTAGGTGCACAGATCATCCATAGAAAAAAAACAATTTGTTTTTATAATGCGTGGCTGGTGTCGGCGTTTACCAATTAAACTCTCTCTTTGTAAAGTTGATAATTGCTCGAGGGGAAACAATAGTTAAGTTGTTTAAACGTCGCAATCAAGTTCTCCTACAATATTGTTTGGATTGGAAATTAGTGATCATGGGTTTCACCTTCAGACATTCTCACGACGTCTCGCGACCGAAATGACTGTCGTCATTGAAAGTTTTTTTTTTCGTCCTTTTCACACCTGTCGGTCGTTACCAACTAAAAACCTAACCTAACTAACTAACTAACTAACTAACTAACTAACTGTAAACACGCTCGGTTATTGTATAAAATGTTGGGTGTGAAGTGTAAGATTTTGTGACATCCGATAGGTATCAAGGAAGCATATCGTAAGAAGCATGATAAGAATCTGCGTGACACAGGAATGATAATAACTATTGTTGGTCGGTTGGTTGGTTGGTCGTGTGAGCCGAGTTAAAACATGCGGGGCGGTTGAGGCACGAAATTTCATGGTCATCGGGTACTGTATGTGCGAATTACAGTACACTTGGGCATCATAGTTAATTTGGGGGATAAACTTGTTGGCTAAAAATAAATGCATAACATGACCGATCTTTTATGGGAAGATCGATACCCTCCTTCGCATCAAGGAATGTTCGATGAGTCGATTCCTATTTAAAAAATTAATTATAAAAATTGACTTACTTCTTCGATTCACAAGAAGCCTGCCTATTGTGGGATTGAAACGATCACGATGGGTCGCAAGGAATTGTCAAAATGAGGATGAGGGAGCGAGCATAAATGAATTCCCCGGAAACGAGAGAATGAAGGGTGTACGTGTTGTTGTTTTCATCGCCTGCAGTGAATTGAGTGACCGCAATCTTGGAATCTCACCTCTTAATCGGTTACAGGTTAAGAATAGGAAAATATCTCTCTAAAGATGTGAACACACGGGAGCACCACAAACTGGCATCAGTTGCTTTCGATCCATACACGATTCCGAATTCAAGACCGGCGGTGTCCTTAAAATACTTGATTGTTTACTGGTCTCCGCCAATTTAATGCGATCCCCCTCCTTACCTGGTGTAATTTAAGGGACAATAATGGAGCCTTTGTAGGACATACATACCTCGTTCGCCAAAACAGCCAACATAGTTTAACCTAGGATGGAGCCAATTCGAATTCACGCGTGCACGCCATCGAACGCATTCTATTTTTAGGTCATCAGAGGAAAGATCGGAATCCGTGGAATTCCCTATCAAGTGGGATAAAATCTCAATCTCATTTACGACCATTAGGGTCGTCATATGTGGTGCGCTATTACACACCAAACCTGGTAATTAAGAATAGGTGATGACGATGCACTCTCAAAACGCACATCTCATTTCTCGTCCTCTGGATTCCCTTATACATCTCAGTCAATCGTTTGATGTCGCTTAGGAGGCGAATACACGCATGAGGATCTAATAATGTACACACACGCATACAGACATACTGTATTATCTCGCCCTACATGTGCTAATGCCAATTCCCCAACATTGTTGGGGTTTTAAATGAGGAATTGCACTGGGCTGAATTCTGAGAATTTGGGTTTCATGCATTATTTTATGCAGACAACTAATTAGCTACATGGATTATTATTTTTCTCATACGAAGATATCACCTATTCATGTATCCACGTATCGTGCTTACTTGCATTCTTTCTTTCTTTCTTTTTTTAGCGACAAGAGGTTGACCCGATTTGATTGGTGAATTGACAATAATCGATTTGAGTCTAACCATAAATTCCATCGTCAATGATGTCAGTAAAAAAGAAAAAACTTAATATACTGCAACTTGTCCATCATTTAATTTAAGCTACTCATTTAGGAGGTCTGTGAAATAAACAACTATTAATCAAGTCATCAAGCCATAATACAACAATGCCTAGCCCGGAACATGACCTGTTATGGACTGGTTGACAAGACGCGGGATAAAAGTAGGAAATTCTCATTGATGAGAGAAAAAAGAAATGGGTAAAAAAGAAAAAAAAAAAAAGTTGGGAATGAGGAAGAATAATAAGGTACTCACTCACTTGTCCTTGATTGGTGAAGAAAGGGATGAAACACGGGAAGCTTGCATATATCATCACAAATCGTTATCATATTGTTGTCCTTGCCGGAAAGGAGAGGTCATTCATGGATGGTCGGTTCGTAAAAAAAGAATGTTAAAACCTCGAACCGAAATAAACACAATATCACCTCATCTCATGAAAAAGGAACAAACAAGGGTAAGGGTACATGCGATAGTGAACCAACACGCGCTGTCTTTCATCAATAACAAGAATGAGAAGTTGTCCTCCCGTGAGTCTCACCGCCTTTGTTGTAAAATGGTAATCAACCACACCTACCATCTATCGGAGGGATAGATTAGATTTCACGATAAAATGTTTGAGATCCGTTGTTGTTGAATTTGATGCGATCAGAAGAAAAAGACGCGTCACAGGGTGTCCTTCTATTCCTCGACTTTTTGGTCAGAATGTGCTGCAATTCGGCATTCTGAATGAGATTTTTTTTTTTTTTTTTTTTTTTGAGAAAATCTAGGAATGTTCCTCAAAAACATAAATAAACCATAAACGAGTTTAACTGTTAGTGGCTGATGGGCTAATTAATTTTGTAGAATAAAAAGGTGAGTGCGTATCATGATACCCTCGACTCTAACATGATTGAAGTAATATTGTAATTATTATTTCAGAATAACTTATGATAATTTATAACACATTATATCTTAAATCATTAGATTGTGAGTACTGCAGAAGTTCATCAATGAGCGGATTAATTAATCGGGATTCCCGTCGGGACAAGGTTATACATGAATCACGATGGCACTTACTATCCGTTACTTCGGATTAACCAAACAACGCTCATTTTTTTATGCACCTTTTCTGGAATTATCCGGTATTCAATTCTTTCTTTATCGGATTGAAACGTGCAACAAAAGTGCCAAAAAAGGGGAGGGATCTATCACCCCCGGCATATGTTTCACTCGTACATCGACCACTCGGTTATTTGTCGCCGGTTCCCTTGTCAGACGTAACAAACCTAGCTCCCTTGTGAAGTACCATTCGCAAGGTCGATGAACTTATAAGATAATACCATCTGCGAAATAGTAATCGTAAATGCAAGTGTCCACTTTGGCATTCATGTATGGCGGCGGAGTCTTGGTATTATGCCATAGGTTGTATGGATGCGAGTGTGCGTACACGTACCCCTCTACAAATATGCATGTGACGCAAAGCAAGAAGGATGCGCTAAGCTTTTTTGGTGATAGACAATTAGAAATAACGCATGATGCATCGAAGAAAACATGGTATTGTGGAAGGGTGATCGAGCTTCACGAAAAAAAAAAAAGAAACCGCCTCAATGCCGACCCTCTTGCATCGGATGTGACCTGTGGACACTTTGCTTTTTCACGACGCATTTTCAAGCGTGCAGTCAATTCGCATCGAACAACCATTTACTTCCGACCAATGAAGGCCCGAGATAACCGGGTCTCCTAAACCTCTAGATATCATATCAGTAGTCATGTACGTAGGTACAATAATAAAATAGATATACAATCGGATATCGCAGGATCACGAAAATTCTTGTTTGTTCATCAAATCCCTGTGCGATCACAGAGGTACGTGCAACCTCGAATGGGGGAGATAATTTTTTCGCAATAGAACGGGATGCGAATTTATTTTACCGGGGTGTTGCCCGCCTGCCTGCCTGCGTGCGTGCGTACGTACGTACGGTACGGTCGGCATACGCAACCCAACACCCCTCGCACGATCTTTCAACGACAGGATTCCCGTGCACATGGTCCACAACAAAAAAAAAAAAAAAAACTGGAATTTGACAGGAAACACGCATGGTATGGGATGTGATTGGAACGAGGGGCCGTGAATAAGAACCATGGCCCAGTGTAAATGGCAGATTTACAAGTGAGAACGGTCCGGTGGAAGAGAGAATAGATCGACAACCTATAAGTTGACAGGTTCACTTGTGATCCTAAGCGCTTTCCTGAAATTAATTTATGGCGGGGAATGCATTCGATCACAAACCAGAAAAACATTTAATTAGAATTCCTATAATCGACAAGGATGAAAGGAGATCTGTTAAACAAGAATTTACCTACGGATTTTATAGAACGTGGTGCATACAAGAATAAAAACACAGCCCGTTCTCCGGAGAAGCTCGTGGAAACAAGACAATTGTGGTAGAAATTGATATGCTTATTTGTTAATAGAATAAAATGTGTTCATTTAAAAAAAAAAAAAAAACATAACACTAAATAAAGTGAAAAGGAGATGCGCGACTGATTGTTGGTAATCTAACCAAAAGGACTTTTTTTACCAATGTTTGTGACTTGGAACTTTTTTTTTTGCAATACATACAAACAATCAAGCTACACAGTGCACTCTTTATTTGTTATTAAAAAAAGCATGGGTTCACCCATTTAAGTATGGCCAATCAAACGTATTATGTCATCTCGACTCATATAACGTCAAGAATTTCTCCTCCAGAGACTTCGGACGTCTCGTGAGTTGCAAAAGACGGTGAAAGACACACATTAGTAAGGGATATGGAAATTTGGCGCTGGGCCTCGAGTCTTGAGTTGTGATATATGGAAATTGTTTTGTCATATCAATTCCGCCATAAGATGGTGTTTTCTGCATGCCATACGTAGCTCCTTTCGGACTGTTTGAAGATTTTGTGTACGAAGTTTTATTTATGGTATGACTGACTGTATGTACAGTACATACCGTATGTATGCGTTTCTCCTTTCTCTTTTTCTTTTTTTTTTTTTCAATGGATCATGTTATGTCCATTGGCTTATTACTTTTTGGGTTGATTAACAATTTCATTCAGCGCAAACCTAACCGCGCATTGTTAATTGTTAAGTGGTCGGTCGTATATTTCTCACCAGAAACGAACGCCTTTTATTTATTTATTTTTTTTTATTTATTTATATTTTTTTTTTTAGAAAAATAAAAATAAAAAATAATAATGGAAACAAACGGATCTCGAGCGTTGTTGTCAAAGATAACGATGAAGTTGATTCGGTGATGGTCAATTAACGCCACCAGCGCAAAAACGGTTGCGTCAATAGAAAGAAGAGGAATGATAAATATCAAGTGCAAATGATAATCGAAATTCCCACATCGATATGAAATCTTTCTCTTAAGGGAATTTTGAATCACCGCTTGTTGCGTCCCATCCAAAAATTGCCAAAATATTTATAAAACTATGCTGCACAGATACAATGACAGTTACTTCATTTGTCGCTACATTTTGGCGAGTCAAAAATCGGTCGGCAACGACCAACCAACAATATAAAATTTGTTGTAAAAAAAAAAAAAAAAAAAAAACCCTTGACGCGAAAATGATCACCTTGATCTGGTGTATGGTAAGTATATGCGTTTCCGAATCACCGTCGTCCTAAACATCTCTTCTTCCCTGTCGGTACCCGGGGTAGCGAATTTTTTTATTGGCAATGCATTTTCTCATTTTCGGTTGTACGTAGTAGATACAGTAAATACCCGCCGTCTCAACCATTGAAATTCCTAAAGATTTACTTGCGTCACGTTAATTCCGAAATTTTGGAATTGATTAACCATATTGGGTAATAATGATTTTGAAACATTTGAATTAAAAATAACTTTCGGAATACGCATTTGGAAATTTTCATTGCTTAATGGTTTGATTTGATTAAGTAATTTTCAAAGTGGTGATCCATCAGCCACAAGTTTTTATACGAAAATTGTTTCGTCAAATCGTTACCCTTTATACTGTACGTCGTCCGACCACGGATTTTATGTACTGTTTGATTGAACAATGCAACATTTTACCAAAGAACCGATGAACACCTGAAACATAGGAAATCCTTTTGATTTTTCAAATATTTGTGCCTCACCTAACATAAATATTATGATTCCCTTGTGGAAGATGCACACCAATCTGGCTTTATTGTGTCATATACTGGTAAAACATGAAATTTGCATAATAATTACGTAAGTATCGTTAAAAAAAAAAAAAAATGAAATGAAATGAAAAATGCAACTTCGATCACATGACTCCTTTAAGCAAAAGTTAATTCCTGTTTGTCATGATGAAGACAATTTATTCCATCGCCTAATTTTGGTGTCATCTTCGCGCGCATGAAAATAAAGACCTTCGATCCCCGATTAGAATCAAGTTTCATCTATGAAAGGACTTCATCTGATTTCTAATTCAATGCGATATCTCAAGGAGAAATGTGTCGCAAGACGAATTTTTCATTCGCCGTAAGAAAAATATTTTCTTGATGATTTTGATCGCCATTTTCCTTAACGGCACATATGATACAAGATTAGGTTCTGCCAACGATCCCTCCTACCCACCCTTTGTTGCGTGCACGAGGTTGAGTCGTGTGTGCTCCAATCGACCTTCTCCCGCTCGTTTTTTATCCGCGTTTTACAGAAAAGGTTACGGTTCATGCACACTCACACGCGTTCTCCATACTGTAAAGGTGATCATCTCCACCACATATTCTTGAGATGCCCACACGTAAACGCACAACCAATTTAGGATAGCTTGATAGCACATCTTGACAATGACTCGTTTCACTTTTCGCGCCACACTGATATTCCATTGTGTTGAAGGAAGAATATTGAGCCGCAATTTCGGCGTGATTGTGGCCAGGTGTAACTTTTTTTTGGGATCACAAGGAAAAAACAAATATAAATTATTGATTAGAATATGATTGTGACCAAACAATTTTTAATTTAATCTATCAAAAAAAAAAAAAAAAAAAAAAAAAAAAAATTTTTTTAAATGCGAAGTCATATTATATAATAAACAATCATTATAATATTACAATACTGAATTTATATATTTATATAGCATTTACAGTAATATACAGTAAAATAATTTATCCCCTTGAAAGAAATGATGAAGACGGTGGTGGCTGTGGCTTTCGAAGATCACCTTTGAACACTATGTTCACTCAACAACGAAAGCATGCAACCTTCTTAATCATTTAAAAATTTAATTAGAATGCACGCAACACTTGAAACAAAGGACTCTTTCTCTACTCACTTTGCTATTTCTGCACTCGCCATATCTTTAATAATTGTGACGTTTAATCATCGCCGCACAACGATTTCTTTGTTTTCCTCGTTGCACCAAATACCTTGTATGATAAGCCGGAGACACGGCTTATTCTAAGCTTATTATTCAACATATATAATGCATATTGAACCCACTTAATTTTTTCTTTTTGGGTTTAAGTTATTCAAAATTAAAGTATAAACTATAGATGACCAAAATTTTTAATTGGTTTGCCGAAACTTAGAGGTACATACATAAATAGCATGCATACACATAGTATGTATCTTCATTCACTCATTAACCGTTCTTTACATAGAACCTCTTTTCGAAGACGATTATATGATTATTTTCTATTGTTCTACATATAAGTCGTCTGAGCAGAGCCTCATTAGCATTCGTTGTTCCAAATTGATTGTCCGATCTTACCATTAGACTTTTAAATTAACAACGTCTGATGATAAGTAGATCACCCCTCGACGCTTTAAAGTTGAAGTTGGTGGTTTGTTCAACCTGAAGCAGGAGTTTTTTTTTTTTTTGTTGTTGTTTTCTGCTTAATAAGTAGAACCAGTTATCTCTTAAGCAAACCAGACTTGATCATGATTCACTTCTATAAAAAGACTTTCCGTAAAAAAACCATTAATAATCCTCTTCTATTTGCCTAGTACAATTATTAATTGGTTAACCATACATACATGGGCTAATAATTTCGTTTTTCATTCTATTATATTCAATCTATTTAAAAACCAAACTATTCAATCAGTTCGCCCATAGCATAGTATTATTCTTTAAAATAGTAAGATCCATGTTTGTAAATTATCGTAATTTGAATTAAATAAACATACTCTCAAAAAATATTTTATGGCAAAATGAGGGAATTTCAAATAAGAGACACAAATTGCAAGCTTGTTGGATGTTAAAAATAAAAGTATTTGTGGATAAATTATTGGGTTAAATAGCAGCAACCAATCTGTATTATTTATTATACTGTAAGTAAAGGTATTGTTGTAACATAAAAAAAAATAATAATAATTTTTTGAATCAATTGTTATCAATATTTTCTACGTTAATCGGTGAATTTAAAATTAATAAGTACCATGATAATAACAAGGTTTATGTAGAATCCATGCAATCCATTAAATACGGTGTCACATATGAACTGTCACCATATGTTATAAATTAATAATAAACTAGAAATCTTTGTATTCTACCTATCAAATAATGCGTAATTTATAAAGAAAACTTTTTTTAACCCTTTGTCAGGTTGGTTATGTATGCTTTATTAAATATTTGAGATTGTACATAGATTTATGTTTTACCAAAGCTAATTCTCTAACTAACTTGTCTTAGTTTAAACAATTCTAAATTAACTTGAAAATAATTTATTATTTCATTAATAGTTTAAACGAAAATCCTTTCAAATATTATTACTGTTCACAAGTTATTATTGCAAATTATAAGTTTTACCAAAAATTAAAACTCAATCCTTTATTCTATATTTTGTAAAATTAAAATCCAATCTATCCTTTTATTTTATACTTGATCACATTTATTATGAAATCTATTTTTTTCAAATTTTTTGCTTTTTTTTTTTAATAATTTATAAAAAAACATAGTAATATATAAGTCATCTTTTTTCTTTCTTTCTTTTCTTTTTTTTTTTTAGGGTAAAAGATACTTTAATATATATTTTTTTATTTGTGAAATGGAAACTCAACTTCATTTATATATGTGAATAAAGTAATTTACAAATTTAATTTCAATGATTATTATTAGTATTTATAAACATTCCTAAAATTCTACTTTTAAAGAATCTACCAGATAACTTGTTATTTGAAAATATCCAATCGAATTAAATTTCTACTTCTATCTATCTAAAAAACTTAGACACTTTATTTTTGAATCATCAATCTTTCTGAATTTCTCTTAACTAATTTATCAGACTTTGACTTGCTAGTTTCATGAAAAGAGAAATACAATTTTCAGATAGTTCTTGATGGATTTAACGCAATTACTGATTTTGTACCTTTCTCAGACTAGTTTGTATTTACTGTAACTGTATTTATTGTATCTTTTATAGGGAGAAAACCTTATTTATAATCAGAAATGGGAAAACCTTGTTTATATAAAACTA